ATGCAGGGTCCTGGGTTTAGTAACACTTTAAACACACCTGTATCAATGAACAGGTGCTGACAATATAAAAATCACACGGGCAGCCAGTTAAAATGGTAGATAGATAGATAGATAGATAGATAGATAGATAGATAGATAGATAGATAGATAGATAGATAGATAGATAGATATTTTTAATAGAAAAACGTTTTAAAAAACATAAACCGTGGAAAAAAAAAAAAAATGACCCAAAGCTATTTTTTTTTCTTTTGTGGTGCTACAATAATAACCGAAAATATGTGCTAATTGAAAATACTCATTCCTTCTATACATATACCATTTTCATCTTCATAGTGAGCTGAGACAGCCCAATACCTGCTTTCTACATAAATTATACTTTTCTCTCTATTTTCAATATCTCCAGCTATTTCATGCGGTATAAAAAGCCTCCCTTTCTCTCTCTGGACTCAGCTTTAGCTTGGGTGACATTGTTAAAGTTTTTCCGAGAGCAGAAAAAACATGTCAAGATATAGAGAGCATAAGGTTTCACCTTGTCAGAATGTTTGGCGTACAACAGACTTAAAAAACAAACAAAAGCACCTTTTGCCATTTATATGGAGAGATCTTACAATTGTTTTCCATCGGATACAGTGAGCTAGCTTGTAATGTCAGGGCTGATGAAGAACGCTGTCGGGAAGAGAGACTTTGTTTACCGTATGGTGCTATTTAAGAAGAACTCCAGTCTAAATGAAAACTTTCTTTTTTACAGTTTTTATTACTGGAGCTGACCGCCCTATAGCAGATATACTACTACAGGTTGGCAGGGGTGCGCAAAATCATGTATACATACATGATTTTGCATTTCTGGGTAGGGGGCGTACGCGCCCTACCAGTGCCACCATTCGCATCCGTGGCTGTCAATCACCTGGCCGGTGATTACCAAGGATGTCTGATGGGGAGAAGGGCTGCTTTGTTTACTAACAGTCCTCCTCCCTGTTGGCTAGGCACACTGCTCTGGTGTCATTGGGAGCAATAGTGCCCCATCAATGGTGACAGTAGGATGAATAGTGCCCCATCATTGGTATCAGAGGGAGGAATAGTGCCCCATCAATGGTATTAGTTGTAGGAATAGTGCCTAATTGTTTATATCAGTGGGAGGAATTGTGCCCTATCATTGGTGTCAGTAGAAGGAAAAATGCCCCATTGTTGGTGTCAGTGAGAGGAATGGTTCCCCACTGCTGGTGCCAGTGTAAGAAACGTTCCTCCTTGTTGGTGTCAGGGGGAGGAAAAGTACCCTAAGGGCCAGATAGAGGCAAGCAAAGGGCTGCATTCGGCCCAGGGCCACAGTTTGGAGACCATTGATATATGTGATACAAGATCCAGTTGATAATTAATTGATTTGCAAAGCAAATAAGTGGTACCTGCAATTAATGTATGTCCCATTTAACCACAAAGAAATCACAGATAGAGGAGAAAATGTCAGCATGACCACAGATAAAGGCAGACTGGCCACCCCTGATATTGAAATGGGTCACCTGGCTTATGGGGAAGCTCTCCAGAGGAACAAAAGTTTCTCTTGAGCTCCCAGCATGAGTACAGGGGAAAAAACAGCCTAAAATTTAAGGAGACAAAATCTCAATAAATATTGTCAAAATAATCTTTGATAGAATTCTGGTCAGGAATATTTCAAAAGCAACCTGGTAATATCACTTACCCATGCAACATGGCCATATTCTTTTACTTTCCTCTGATAGGTATATGAGATCACTTGACTTTTAATCTGGGTTGAGATTTCATGGTTATTACTGAAAATAATTTTGTGCTATAGAGCAAAATGGTGTTAAAATAAATTTGCTCTGGGTGACAAACACACTAGGTATTCCCCAATCTTTATTCTTTTATTTATTATTATATCTATGGCTTGCTCAACACAGTAATGTACTGTGAGTTATATAGATGGAATAATGTAGCAGAGGGTACAAATACAAATAAACTATTAATAATTCTATTTTTGAAAGCATTCCTAATTGCTTCAAGGGTTACTCTTTTTTTAAATGACACAGAAAGGCTCATTTAGCTACCAATGACCTACATTACATATGTGTGTAAGAGGGGTTCAGCTTTGTTCTATGTGGTGGATATGCACAGCTGGGCTTCTCTTTTACATTCAGGGTTTTGCCCAAACCCACATATTGTTACACATGGCCCAGATAGAAGATCCATAAGACCAACCAGCCACTCTGGGCCCATGAAACATGGGGGCCTGAGCCACCTGACGCATGATATATAAAAGGGTTCTCTCTCACTGCCAGGTGGGGACTCTTTTCCCTCCATCACAAGCCACCCCAGAGCTGACCAGGCTTGCACCTGGAAAGCACACAACTCTTCTCCCCAAGGTAGGCCTTCTTGTTGTAAAGTAACTTCTTTACTGAGTAACAAGTTAATACACAATCCACTTCATTGGTAATACAGTTTCCAGATCATGGCAAAGTAGATCACATCAGTCTCTTAATTCGTTGCATCTTGTAAAACAGTGGAGGAGTAAGGTGGTATTGATAATCTGCTAACAATCCATAAATTGGCTGTTCAAAACTTTGGGCAAAGACCTGTACCACCCCTCATACTCAAACCCCTCAGCTTTCCTCTCCTTGTTGTGGTGCCAGGAGGTCTCCCCCCACCTTATAAATAGGAACTCGAGTGACCAATCCACTTCTAAGGAGTAGTAACTTATAAGGTTAAAACTTTACCTCCCTATATGTGGAGCTGAATGCATTAATATCACAACCCTTGGATGGCATGAGGCTAACTTTCCCAATGGCAGCTCCATAGGAAGACATGCGGATGAGGTCTTCCATCCACTCTACAGGTTCGTGAGAACCTGACAAGTCTATCTTAAGCACTTTCACTGCTTAGAGTTGCTCATTACTATAATCAGCAACACTACCATTATACCTGCACACATCTAAGGGATACTGGTTGTGCAACCTTACACCCCTGAGACTAAACATGCATCTATGAAGAGTCTTCCACCCAATTTGATGAAGCTTCACCATTATGCCCTATGGAATATTTGTATAACCAAAGTCTAAAAATCCTTGAAATGTATGTACTGTAGATGATCTGGGAGAACATAGAGGTAGATTTGCTAAAACTGGAGCACTCAGAATCTGATGCAGCTGTGCATGGTAACCAATCAGCTTCTAACTTCTGCTTGTTCAACTATACTTTGGCGATAAAACTTGGAAACTGATTGGTTTCTATGCAGAGCTGCACCAGATATTGCACACTCCAGCTTTAGTAAATAACCCCCATAGCTTCAAAAAACTGAAGTTTTACTCACTTAGGAATTGTATGACATCAAAAGCTGATGCATGGCATGTGTGATATGCCATAATGGCCCCTACTGACCTGAAAAAAATATATGCTTTTAAAGGGCTTGTTACTTTACTGAAGCTCACAAGAACCTGCTTGATATCTGACCTTAACTATGGGGATTTATCACCCAATCTGGTTAGCAAGATGGCTGCCATATGCAGCATGGGGATTTGTAAAATGAGAAAAGTAAAGTATCTGAGTGGGTGGCTGGAAAGCAGACAATAGTGCGGGATAATCCCGGAGATCGCAGATCTGTTGTGCGAGAACACAGCTCACAGTAAACAGAAGGATAATCAAACACAACCCAGAGGCCTTCGGGGCTTAGAAAATGCTTACAAAGCTTCAAGAACGAAATGAATCATTTTTGAGAACAAATACAGTAACATCAAGTGAAAGCAGCCAGGATGTATTGCACATCCATCTGTTTCCCTGTGTGTTATGGTAATGCAAAAGAATGGAAAGTGCAAAGACAACATGCTTGCTAACATTGTCCATCGAAAAATTAGTGAAACTTGGCAACTGGCAAAATCAACTTAAATAGCTTACTTTTATATAATACACCTAGTTCAAATATAGTTAGCAGTAAACAATGACAACTGCTGAAACCGAGCTCCAGACAATGGACAGACCCAACAGTGCTCTCTTCTTGACATCCATGCATTCGCTGCACTGTAAAGCAAAGGTGGAATTGACTGTGTGATCACCCATTAATGACAATCACAAAAGAGATACAGAACAATCTATTGTTAACCTTCTTCTGAAAATGCTAATTAAATGGATGTCAGATTGACTCCCTGGCTTTGATACTTTCCAAACCAGAGATCAAGAACAAGCATGTGGCAAGTAAGGTCAAATGGATCCACCTAGTGCCTGCTGTTAATCACAGGGGGAGCAGACCTAATGGGGAACTAGTGTCTTTGAATCCCCAGCTGGCTTCATCCTCCCATCTACAAACCTCCTTGATGGTGCGCTGTATGTGTGGCAGATGCAGCGGGGGGGGGGGGATGGGGTGTTCATATGGACACTTGGGCAGGACTCAGTGGACCTATGTTCAACAATGGCAGCGCTTGCCTGAATCTGAAGTGAGCACCAACATTTATAGCCTGGAGGACACTCTTTATGAATTCTCCAGTCTCTTGGAAAGATTTTTCACACTTCCTGTTAGTGAAAGAAAATCTCCTCAACCATTATAGAGTAAGGGTTTTGATTCTTCATTGTGTTGACCAAAAGAGAAAAAATGTTTTCGAGGTAGTTTTCTTATGCCACCAATACATCTATCGTGCCCAATACTATACTTGGTTTGCTACACTAAAGGGCTGCAGGTGTAATTCAAATCTCTTCTACAAACCTGCAGACCCTACATCAGACTCAGGAAAAGGTAAAGGAGGCCTAGTCATTGGGAGGGGAGATGTCTTTGGTGCCTCTAAAGCTTACCCCTCAAGAACAGGAGTATTCCATTAAAATTTAAGGAGCTCTGGTCAGTAAACTTTTCTTCCAGCAGAGATCCAAATCTCATGTTTGTGCTATGACTCAAATGCTAGTATATATGTAGTCATTTTTATGTCTATCAAAAATAAGCAATGTACAATTTCCATAGCATTTCAGTACTATGTATTGCAAATTTTCAGCGTGCCTCCTTACATCAGGTGCCACATCACAGTGCCCCATTACATCAGCTGTCACCATTAGAGTGCCCCCTTACATCAGGTACCCACATCAGAGTGCCCCCCTGCATCAGGTATCCCTATCAGTGTTCCCCCTTTTCCATCAGGTGTCCCCATCAGAGTGCCCCCTTACATAAGATGTCCCCATCAGAGTGCCCCTTTACATCCGGTGTCCCCATTAGAGTGCCTCCTTACATCAGGTGCCCCTATGAGAGTGCCCACTTACATCAGGTACCCCCATCAGAGTGCCCCCTTGCATCAGGTATCCCTATCAGTGTTCCCCCTTTTCCATCAGGTGTCCCCATCAGAGTGCCCCCTTACATAAGATGTCCCCATCAGAGTGCCCCTTTACATCAGGTGTCCCCATTAGAGTGCCTCCTTACATCAGGTGTCCCTATGAGAGTGCCCACTTACATCAGGTGTTCCCATCAGAGTGGCCCTGCTAGGCATGCAGAGGATGGGAGCTAGGAGGCAGAGCAGGCTATAGGTGACATTCCACTTCCATCCTCCTGTGATGCTGTGGGCAGAGCATGCACATGATCTAACCCCAATCTTAACTCTAAGGATGCTGGCATTTCTAACAACCATTCACTGCAGAGGAGGGGGAGAATCCGAGATAGTAAAAGAACTGTCACTGGCTCAGAGTCTGGACAGTGGTCCGCCACTTAGTGACACCTGCTCTAGAGCATAGGTTGACTCTACAATATGGAGTCAGTCTATGACCTTGAGGGATATAGTGGTGGATGGTGAGGCTTACGTATATTGCTCCCCAAAAAAAAGCCATTTCCCTCATTTATCCTAGATGCTATTAAACTTGTTGGAGGTGGGCCTGTAGTACCTTTCCATGTTTAGTCTGCTCAATAGACAATAAATGGGCATCATCCTGCCGCTGACACATTGTCTAATGAGCAGACAGATGACACAGGAAGCTATGCAATGTGGAAGAGGTGTGTATATCAAAGCTGTCTGAACAGAATCTTATTTTGTAAGTAAAACAATTACCATGTACGTTTTCAAGTGTATATTTAGCTGTTTGCAAAAGTTCTGCTTTAATACTGGCTCAGCAAGCCTAGTACTCCCAGTCCTCTTTTGCCCTTTATTGTCCCATATGCAGTAGCATGTCAATTCCTAGCCATGGATAACTCAGGCTGTCATTAATTAGAACTAGTTCACTTAAAAAATGTATTTGCAATTAATATTTACTTCTGTTTAGAGGACTTAAATGCCCCCGCTGACCGCTAAAACATTTCAATAGAAGAGGAGAATCTATGGAGTTTTGGTGGCAGACACTTCTGTTCCAGTAATGATCATTTTTACTTATAGCTGCTATTCAGCCAGCAAGAAATGTGACTTAGAGCAGCACACAAATGCATTCTAGAAAAGGTAAATTAATATATTTGCCCTTGATATATTATATTTGATATATATACAACTACAATTCTTAACATGCTTTTGCTCAGAAGGTGGAGTTGCACTTTAAAAGTTGTCTGCCCTGTTCTAGTAAACCAGCCCAAACAAAAGCAATTTAAAAAGAGCTTAGTTCCTCCGACGTTTTATAATTAAAAATATTTCAAAATATTAAGATAAGGAATATAATTGTATTACATAAATAGCACACACATTTATCCGGGCTGTGCTGCCGTATTAGCAGAAGCAATAATCCCTCTAGAAAATAGTTCATTTGCAAAGAATTATTAGAATATATTTGCAGAATCACACCTTTAATTAAAATGCTTGCAAAACCCTCTAAGCGGCGGCTCATACGCTCTATGTGTGATTTATGTGAAGACACCCCTGGCTGTCTAAGGAAATTAGCTGGGCACTGCAGACTTATACCGCATAATGTCACTCCTTACTGGTCCTGGAGGTGACCCAGAGCTTGGCGGCACTAAATTAACATAAAGCTCACACGTCTGGCCCTGTCACTTACAGTGTTTGCTAACAACTCCTGAGATGTGCTCATTGCGAGGGAGCTGATGCCAGCCCCTGGAGGCACTGAGTAGCGTGTGGGGAGATGCCATGTTCCACAAAGATTCTGCCTGGCATCTTGTCGGCTTGCAAATCACAGAGAGCATATTGAGAATTTGCTGTGACAGTCTCTAATAAGAATTAGTCCATTACCTCTCCACCGAGGGTGAAATGTGCTCATGTTTAAAGGGACATCATCCCTTTTCTTTTTATCCTTTACTAAAATTTAAAGTGTATGTCCAGGAAAAAAAAAAAAAACAAACATACTTAGTAAGTCTTTGCAATACATGGACATTTTCCTATGTTTTGTTTCTTTAAAGCAAAGTTGCACTCACCCTGTCAAAAAAAAAAGTTCAGCAGCTACAAAAACTGTAGCCGCTGACTTTTAAAAAACAGCCACTTACCTGTCCCTGGGTCCCACGGTGTCCCCCCCGCAAACCCTGTATTCCAGGAGGCCAGCATCTTCAGTGTGGGCACCCGGCTGTGATAGCTTGTGGCTTCACAGCCGGGTACCCACTGCGCATGTGCAAGTAGCGCTGCGCTTCCTGAATGATCCTGTAGCCTTCTGGGACCTGTCACGTGTCCCAAAAGACTACAGGGAGGGAGGACACCTTCCACTTCCGATTGCCTAGGCGATCTGACTGGAAGTGGGAGCGGGTACCTGTCAAATTCGGGTACCCGCTCCCGCCCCCCCAAAGGTGCCAATCCTTAATGGGGAGCAGTCCTTAAAGCGGAACGTCCCCTTTTTGGTGGAGCTCTGCTTTAAAAACAATACAAGTACAAAAAAAAATTAAGATCCGACTAGAAATCCAGTGAGCTCCTAACTTCCTGTAGTAAACTGAAAATGCTATCTCTGCTTTACTGAAATCCCTACTGGATTACAGAACTCTTCCCACCATCTTCATCATATATAGGAGCAATGTTGTGGTCTAGCAGAATTTCAGCGCAGGCAAGACAGTGTTGTCAAGTCACTACAGAAAGTTGAAGCTCACTGGATTTCTGGCAGAATCAACATTTATTTTTCTGTATTAAAATTATTATATGTATATACTTCACAAAGAGCTTGAAAAGAAGCCATTCCTGACCTAACTGTATGTAATATGAAGTAATTCATTGCAAGGATCACAGCAAAGATTCAACAGGCCGGTTCACACAACATTTTTGCAATCCAGATTCTTCTGCATGCACTGTTCTGATGTGTTTCAAAATGTATTCCAGTGCATTTTTCCCCCTCTTCTTTTTTTTGCCACAGTTTCCTGGGTTTTGGTTGTTAGGAGCTTGCAGCCGCATCCTAACAACCAGTGGCACATCTTTGCTGTCAGGAGCAGGAGTAAGTCATTAGTTCTTAAGGAGCCAACACCTGGCGGTGCCCTAACAACCAGTGACTCATCCCTGTTATCAGCAGCAGGGATGAGTGATCAGTTGCTAAGGAGCCGACACCCAGCAGAATCCCCACTGATTCCCCACTGACAGCAGAATGTAATTAAAACAGCCAGCAAAAAAAGCAGTGTGGGGGGTCTTTGAGTATCATATAGATTTTAAAGGGAACCCCACACCAAAAAAAATAAATAAATATAATGCATGGGGTCCCCCCCAAACTTAGATGCAGAGGATGTGGTGCTGTCATTCAATGAGTGTCAAGAGACAGGAGTGGTTATGTTCAGCGGCGCAAGGGGGGTTTATTCTGTGCTGGTTGGCAACCAGCTCTCATTGTGATTGACGATGGATTTACTTTGGGGACATGTTTTTTTTTTTTGCTTTTTTTATAAAGGACTTGTCAATAACTTTGTTTTTTTATTTAGTTTTGACTTTTTTTGGTGAATGAGTAGTGGTGCTATGTATCCCGTACACATTCACATGGAGGGAGAGGAATCTGGGGGCCCCCACGACAAAGCGCCTTCCTCCTATGCTGAGGGTATGTGGCCTGGTACCGTTTGGGGGGGGGGGTGGCACTCAATCTTCCCTGGCCTGCCAGGCTGCATGCTTAGACAAGGGCATGGTGTGGATTTTGGGAGGGACCATATGCAGGCAAAAACGCATTCCAGTGCATTTTTTTATGTGTTTTGCCACATTCCAGTGCAGTTCCATACAGAAAACGCCTACTTTTGCTAACTGCACTGAACTGAGCCCATCTCCAAATCACTTTCCTTCAGCAATTTGTAGTTAAGCACAGCAATTGCTGCAACATTTCACAGGAAAGCATTAAGCGTTGTTCACATGGGCATGCTGCAGCATACACCCATGCAGAGGCCATGTTTACATGGAGATGCTCAGATGTTCCATGCATCTCCGTGCAGACATTCCCATTCATGTCAATTGGGGAGCAGTGGCTGTACCCCAATCCATGTGGGTGAGGATACATAGCCCCAAATGCAGACAGTGTGCGTTTTGGGCCCATGCACCGCACATATGTCAAATTGTGAGCAGTAGCTGCGTCCATGCAGCGTCTGTGTCCCAAGTGACATGAATGGCTGCCTAGACAGGGATGCATGGAACATCTATGTGTCCCTATGTGGATAAACACGGCCCTTACACTGGTGTACACTGTACAACACCAGTGTGAATAATGTGATTGTCACTAGCAATTTTGCTGCCTAAGGAAAACACTGATGAATCTTGTTCACGGAGCTACAAATCGCTTAAAAATTTTTCACGATTACATTGATAATATATGGGTGGAGAATAATCGCTGCTGCAAATCACTAATGCAAGTGATAAAAAAAGCGGTTTACAGCTAGCAGTTTACAAATTACTTCAGAAATGTTAAGGTAAGTGATCCTATAGACATCTACTATGATTTTCTTTGCAACAAATTGTTACAACAAAATGAGAGAGGAGGGGGGTAGTAAAGAAAAGATAATTGTATGTATGTCATCATCCTTAGCGATCCCATGGAAAATTATTGTGATTTTCTTAGCAACTAATCACTAAAACAAAGCGGGGGGGGTAACTGCTGCGATAAAACCAGGTTAAAGCAGGCCATAGATTATGCGATTTTCTTTCCTTCCACCACATCGCTGTTGTATTCTCCTAGCAAGGAGCCTTCACAGCTGGCAGAACACAATGATTATTGAGAGCAGCTATAGCCACCAGCAGTAATCACATGTAAAAATCTGACAGGCTGGTTATACCCAAGTCAATAGATGGATAAACTTGTGTACAACCAGCCTGCCCATAGATGGATTGAATCTTGGCTGCTCCCTGTTGAACTGGCCAAGGTTCAATCCATCTATGGCCGGCTTAAGTGCCTCTTCACACCACAATCCAGTGAATTACGTCACACATGCTTTTGAGGTTTGATGTGTATTACGGCACGCTGTGTTAGGCAGCCCATTCAAACTGAATGGACCACAATGCACCTCAATGTACTTGCTGTCTATATTTTATCCCCTCAACTCACAAGAAACGTGTGCTGTACTGCATTTCAGCACGCATGCATTTTTGGGGTG